AGGCCAGCTCGGCCCGCGAGGAGCCCGGGGAGAACCAGTGGGAGGGGAACGCCAGCTCCACTACGCAGGCGCCCAGGGATGGCTGCAAAGACACGACGGCCATGGTTGGCGTGTCAGGGACCCGGAGCTGACAAGCAGGGCCAGCATGGGCCAGAGACGACTCCCAGGTGGCACGGCCAACCAGGGACAGGGCGGGGTGAGGTCTCGGAAGGCGTCCACGGGCCACTCTGCCCTTGGGAGCAGTCTCATTCCAAAGGGAGCCGACCCCGAATGCCTCCCCCACCCAGGCCCCCGACCGCCCTGACCAGAGCTCAGGGTTCTCAGAATCCCAAAGTCCACAACGCGCCTCTCCCGCAGATTCCTGGGCTAGACCCCAAAGCAGCGGATCGCAGTGACAAACCCCACACTGACGAGAATGCAAACCCTTGCTGGAGGCATGGCACTCACCCCACTCTTCTCTATCCCGCCTCCCTATGAGCTGGGGGTTATTGCTGCCCCATTTTACAGATGAGAAAACCGAGTCCCCAAGATTAAGTTACTTGCCCAAAACCATCTACACTGAACTCCATGAGGCACCCTAAGTACCCTGCGCAGGGTCCTGGGAAAGCCAGCAGAGAAGATTGAAGTCAGGTGGTCCGTGACCCCACACTTCCCGGGAGTGGCGAGCCCTCTTTCTTCTCCTCCAGGACCCCCTCCGGCAGGCCCAGCAGCGGGGCGGCCTGGGCGGGGCCCACCCGCTCACCTGGAAGCGGCAGGCGCGGTGAGCTGTGCCTGCCGGGTGCGTGGCGTGGAGCCGGGCACAGGGCAGGCTGCCAGGCCCCGGCGGCCAGTCCTGCCCTTTGAGGTGGAAGAGCACTCGGGCGTGGGGCTCTGCTGGCGTCACCGCCGCTTCCACCGACACGGCCCGCACGTCCCACGGGACTGGCCTGTGGTGGGGCTCGGCGACCCGAGGAGGGACAACCTGCAGGGAGAATGGGGGTGCTCAACACAGCAGGGGAGGGGGGAGTAAGATGTGGGAAGATGGGATGCCAGGCTTCCAGTTCCAGCCTGGCCGGAGAGAGCCTGTATGGGCCTCAGTTTCCCCCTCTGGAAACTGGGCTGGGGCAGGCCCGAGCCACACACAGCAGACCGTGGCTCTGAGTCCTGTTCGCCTGGGAGCCCCCGTGCCCCTCCTTACCTGCTGAGTGGCAAAGGGCGGGTAGGAGGCCCGGAGGAGCGGCTGGGCCCTGGGCCAGGGATGCAGGAGCAGGAAGGTCTCGGACCGGGAGCCCAGGGAGGAGTTGGCGGGCGGATAGCGGCCCACCTGCTGCACGCGGAAGTGCTCGGGGGCGTCCAGGAGCTCCAGGGCTGCCGGCAGGTACACGGGGTCCGGGGGGCCCTGGTCACAGCCCACTGAGGAGCGAGAGGGACAGAGAGATGGCAAGAGCTGCAGAGCTGGGGGGGCACAGCGCCAAGGGGAGCGGAGGAAGGAGGGTGATACACGCCCAGCCTGGGGCGTGGAGGGTCTCCACTGCACAGAGGAGGAAACTGAGGATCACACAGGTAGCAGGAGGCAGGGCCAGGATGTGAATCCGAGCCCAGGACCGGATGCCGGCCCCCGGCCATTCCTTTTCCTGCCTCTCTCCCTCCAGCAGCACCTCCTCCTCCGCCGCCCCCATCCTACCCCTTATGTAACTGCCCCTGACACCAAGGCATCTGTGGGGGCAGCTCTCGCTAGACAGGGCCCCGCAGGTAACAGGCGAGCTTTGCAGAAGTAGAGACCCTTTCTCTGCCCCTAGGCCCTGGCCAGACGTGGCTGGACGTCCACTCTCCTCTCCATCATCACCATGGCAACTCCGCACCAGTTTCCCAAACGCGCTCCCTTCTATCGGGATCCCAACCCGGTACTGAGTGCGAGAGGGGGGAGGGGTGTGGGTGGGGACAGGAGCAGGAAGAGAATCTGGTACTAATAACCAGGACAAAGGACCGCCAAGACCATACTCGGTGTGTACCCCAATACCAGTCAGGCCTAACAATAATAATTAACACTTTAGAACACCAGCTATGTGCAGGCCACCATTTAAAACACGTTACATACGTGTATTAACTTTCAGTTTTTGTAACAACTGAGAAGGTTCTATGACTGTTAATCTCATTTTATGTTTGTTTATTTTTTAAATTATTTTTGTTGATTTCAGAGAGGAAGGGAGAGGGAGAGAGAGAGATAGAAGCACCAATGATGAGAGAGAATCATTGATCGGCTGCCTCCTGCACGCCCCCACTGGGGATCGAGCCCACAACCCGGGCATGCGCCCTGACCGGGAATGAACTGTGACCTCCTGGTTCATAGGTCGACGCTCAACCCCTGAGCCACGCCGGCCGGGCTAATCCCATGGTATGGATGGAGACAATGAGGCTGAGAAGTTAAGGTACTTGCTGGGGTCCCACAGTTGGTGCATGGTGGAGCTGGGAATCAGAGCCCAGGCACCAACCACTAGACCACCCTGCCTCCGCTCTACCTCTCTCTCCACCCTATGTTGTTCACTCCCTAGACCAGTGATGGCGAACCTATGACACGCGTGTCAGAGGTGACACGCGAACTCATTTTTTTGGCTGATTTTTCTTTGTTAAATGGCATTTAAATATATAAAATAAATATCAAAAATATAAATCTTTGTTTTACTATGGTTGCAAATATCAAAAAATTTCTATATGTGACACCGCACCAGAGTTAAGTTAGGGTTTTTCAAACTGCTGACACGCCGAGCTCAAAAGGTTCACCATTACTGGTCTGGACTGTGGGTCTCCCTTCCCCTTCAGGGCCAACAGAGAATGCCGCCTCCTTAAGGAAGCCCTCCTTGATTGCTTGCACTCTCACCCATCCCCTCCGCTATTTGCGGCTCTGGCTGCCTTCTCTGAATTAGTTATCTTCCTGTTTATCGCCCAGGGCCTGGCTGATCCTGGATCCCACGCTGGGCCGCTCTCCCCGGAGCAGATGTCCTGGGAGCCTGGAGCCGTGCATTTGCACCCTAACTCGGCCTCGGGGGAGGTTGGGCCAGTCCTTTAACTCTTGGAGCCGGGAGGGCTTTGTAAACTGTGGCGTGTGGAGCAGGGGCTGCTGCTGCTGCTAATGGATGTGAGGGCTCTCCTCCCTGTGAGAGGGTCATGGGCTCCTGTGGTCCCCGGGGAGGGGGGCAGGTGGCTGAAAGCAGCCCCAGAGCCGCTCAGCCCCGCTGCTGGGCTGGGCCTTGATGGTTTCAACCTCCCTCACGACCCTCCCCATCAATGAGCCTGTGTCTGAGACACTTACTCCCCCCCGCCCCCCAAGTGTAACAGGTGAGTGACTGGCTCCAGGGGCAGCCACGGGCCTCCCTCCCTCCTCCCACTCCATCGCCGGGATAATTACAAGATGCTGGAGGCCTGACTCCCACGGATTTCCCGCATCCAGATCCCAGCTCTGGGCGGGGGCGGGGGGGGGTCCTCACTGTGCCCCCCTCTTCTGTGGCATCATCCACCTAAAGCCGCGGCCCATGCCAAGGGGCGCCGCGGCCCCTCTCCAGGGATGGGGATCCCCTAAGCGCCAGGAAGGCACGGATGGGGCGATCTCCTGGGACTCCAGGGTCACGGAACTCCCTGGGGCAAGGAGAGCGGCCGCATATCTTCTCCAAGGTCCCTGCAAAGGGGCAGCTTCCGCTCCCGGGTGGGGTGGTGGGGGACGGGGCTAGCAGCCAGCGGGGTGCAGCTCTGGGAGGGCAGAGGAGGGAGCTGGTGCG